ATCGCCTAAACAAATAGAAAGGGAGAAGTATCCTTTTCTTTTCTCACTCGCACTCGCATTCACGACCGAGAGACCCCAAGATAACGCACACTAACTCGCTCACCTGTAAAGACTAACGTAGAGGCGTGGCTTGCCCTCTCTCTTACATTTACCTTTCACCTCCATTTTCTCGCTTATTTTTGAAAATACGAAGATACACCTTAGAACATTTTTTATGTATTTTTTAATTTAACACAACTTTTGTTTAAAACTTTTTTCGATTAAATGCATAGATTCTAAGATATGGCTGTTTTACCTTTTTTCTCAAAGATCTCCTGATCTAATTGCAAAAAAATTAGCACCATTCGATTCAGCGTCGTCGAATTACCATTATATCAAATTTTAACAAAGCYGCTAAATTTTCCAAGTTCTCCTTTGTTGCCTGGACTACTGGTTGAAACGTTGACGAAGAATCTGTACAAATCAGGATAATTCTGGCCACGTGCAGGACCGCCTTTGTCCCTTGTCGCTGGCCGAACTTAAATGATGTAGTATTGCGCAATACAAATAATTCTCCTCAAAGTAGTTCTCGCAAGTCTCAGCTTTCTAAGCTAGATGAATCTCGAGCGATGAATCACTCGTGATGAATCAAGAGTGTTGATAGGCTCAAGAACGCGCTGGGTTTTATACCAAAAAGCGATGTCATGCTGGACCAATCACCGATAAGCCCGAGGATAACGCGGCTGTCGATACATGTGATTGGCGTAATAAATGTAGTGGGAGAACGCGAGCTAGAAGAAAGAAAGACCCCTTGCAAGCATCTTAGCGCTACCGTGGTTACCACCAAAAACAACGATACTGCATTGTCGCAAGTGTCTCACGCCTTGGCAGCGCCGTACACGCCCAGGCGCTTCGCCCTACTTACTCGTTGCGTAGGATACGAAACATAACCCCCCCTTGAACGGGCACCGTTCAAAACTTAAAAAACAAAATGCGCACACTTAAATACAAATTATAAACTATATACATACTGGTAACCGCATATTACAATACATATTCAATAATTAACGTGACTAAGTTAAAAAAAAAATTTTTTTTTTTTTTTTTTTATAAATCGCTTGGGAAAGGAGAAAGACGTTTAATACCGCGCTTTACAAGACCGTTGGCAGTTTTTACGCTCGCCACGCGTGCTATACCGTCGGCTCCTTTATGTACTTCCGCGATACATCCTAATGGCCATTTAAGTGGAGGGGAATTATTTTCTCGCAGGATGACTAGCGTACCCAGGCTTATTTCGTCTGCTGTGCCTCTGTGCCATTTTTTACGGACCGTCTGCTCGTTCAAATATTCCTTATTCCATCGGTTCCAAAAATGCTGTCTCATCTGCTGTACGTGCTGCCATTGGGACAGACGCCTGGATGGTGTATCCCTGTATTCGTCCTCTGGCAAACTCGTAAACGAATTTCCAATTAAAAAAGGCCCAGGTGTAAGAGTGCGCAAATCATTCGGGTCATTAGACAGAGGCGTGATAGGACGCGAGTTAAGAATCGCCTCTATCTCGAGGACGTATGTTAATAATGCCTCGTAAGATAGCAATGTCTCGCCTATAATTCGAACTAAATGATATTTAAACGATTTTACGGCCGCCTCCCATAGACCTCCAAAATGGGGGGAACGGGGTGGGATGAAATGCCACTTGATTCCTTCATTTACCAAACTTCGTGAGACGCGCGCTTCTAGTTCGTTCGCYGCACCTACGAAATTAGTCGCGTTGTCGAAATATATGTCTGAACATTTTTCACGGCGTGCCATAAATCTACGCAAAGCTGCTAAAAATGCTTCAGTCGTTAGATTATTCACGAGTTCTAAATGAACGGTCTTGGTGCTAAAGCAGACGAATACTGCCACATATATTTTAGCGCGACCACGGTTCCGATGTTGCTTTTCCTTGATGAATAACGGWCCGCAGAAATCCACGCCGGTGTCGAGAAACGGACGATTCGGTAGAAGACGACTGGCAGGTAGATCACTCATMGGATATTGCGGCGTAGCGGGTTTTAAACGTCGACAAGTAATACATTTATATATTACGCGTTTAACGCCACTTCGCCCATTTATTGGCCAAAACGATTCGCGARGTGCGTTCAAAGTGGCTTGCGTACCACCGTGCCCTATTTGATRGTGCTTTTCGCGTATTATCGCGTTTGTAATTGTATGGTCTTTCGGCAATAACGCGGGATGCCTTTGCTCGTATGGCAAGTTGCTTCTTGCCAATCTACCTCCCACTCTTAATATTTCTAAATTGTCTACAAACGGGCTTAGTACGGAGAATGATGCACAAACCTCTTTTCCGGACTTGATCAATTTAATGATCTCGGGAAATGCTTCTTCCTGTATCAATCTAATCGCGATTACCATCGTGCCTTTCAATTCGTCCACTGTTAACTCACCCATTATTCTTTTCTCCTTTAAATTGCGCGAGTTACGTGCGAATCTAGCGCAATACGCGATAATGCGCTTTAATTTGACGAATGAGGAGTACCGCCTAAATAGTTTGAACGGAGTAGCTTCCTTTGCGTGAGTTACAATCTTTTTCTTTTCCGAGATTTCGATTGGTTCTAATCTACTATGCGGCTAACTTGATTCCGGCTTGATAAGCTATGCAGGAACGGATTTTCAGAGCTTACTTTCACGGAGTTCGGAAGGTGTAACGCCACGAGAAATTAAATCCGCTGGGCTATGTTCGGACGATACATGACGCCACAGCTMGCGAGCTGTGCTCTCTTGAATTTCAGCTACGATTTGTGCTACGTAGGTTTTTAAAGTGTGAGGCGGAGTATTGAGCCAATGCAAAACTACCGTAGAATCCGCCCAAAATATTGTACGGCAGAAATCATTTCTACGCAAAGCGGTTTTAGTGGCCTTAAAGAGCCGCGAGAGTATTAAGGCGCCGTAAAGTTCTAGGCGCGGAAGCGATTGCGTTTTAAGCGGCGCTACCTTGGATTTGGCGCAGACTAATCGTAAAGTGGGATTTTTTCCCAACGTTTTAACATAAATGCACGCGCCGTAAGCCCTTTCGCTCGCGTCACAAAAACCGTGCATTTTCAGTTCTTCTCCATCACCTGCTACGTTTCACGCGAACCTTATCTCCTCAAGCGTGTGGAGATTTTGGCGGAACTCTTGCCATATTTTATATATATCGGCTGGGACATCTTCGTCCCACGTTGATTTTAATTGCCATAGCCGTTGCATCATCATTTTCGCGTTGATTACTACCGGTCCTAATAAATCTAGCGGGTCGAATAACTGCGAAATTTCCGACAATATAACGCGCTTAGTAACCTTCGATGGATCAGCTGMTCGCTTTACCGTATAGCCTATTTTATCTTTGGCCGCGTTCTAATTAACACCTAATGTTTTTACCGTGCCTGACGAATATAAATTTACGATGTTATTATCCGCGGTATCTAAGTCCTTTAGAATCTCGGCGCAATTTTACGCCCATTGCCGCAAATGCATGCCTGCCCCTGCGGTTATCCTTATTAATTCGTCGTGGACTTGCTTTGCTTCCCTAACTGTACGCGCTCCGATTAACAAGTCGTCCACATAGAAATCTTCTTTAAGAACGATGGCTACTTTCGGGATCTGTGAAATTCGTCGCTCGCGAGTTGATGTAAGGTACGCGTTGCTAAGAACGACGCGGAGGCGGTTCCATAGGTTACTGTATTTAATCTATAYGCTTTCACGGGCTCACTTTCCTGTCAACGCCGAAGTATAGTTTGGTATTTGCGATCGCGCGGATCAATTATTATCTGCCGATACATCTTCGCGATGTCCGCGGTAATAGCAATAGCACGTGATCTAAATCTTACTAAAAGTTCAATTTAATCCTCCTGTATGGTTGGGCCAACCATTAATACGTTATTCAGCGATTTCCCGTTGCTGGTTTTGGCCGACGCGTTGAACACTACTCGCAATTTGGYCGTAATACTAGTATGCTTTAATACAGCATGATGCGGTAAATAGAATCTATCTTCGTGAGGTCCCCCTTCTATCCTTGTCATGTGCCCTAGTTCTTCATATTCGGATAAGAATTTAATATATTCATTTCTAATTTCCGGCTTGCGCGATAATGATCGCTCTAATGCGTGAAATCTTCKTAACGCGCTCGTATACGAATCTCCTAACTGATTTTCTTCCTTAAADGGCAATCTCACTATATATCTGCCAGTATTATCCCGTCGCGTGTTGCTTTTAAAATGTGCTCCGCACAAATTTTCCTCGTGCGACCWAATACTACTCTCAGCTACTTCTTCAATCTTCCCGAATTTTTCCAATTGTGAGTTCAAATCTACCGTGGCCGTGTGGCAATTAACGCCCTACGGAGTACGCGTGGCTCCTGTGCTCATAACGAGCCATCCTAGTATAGTTCCTTGTGCCATTAAATTTTCATTTAACCTAATGCTCTGACCTGCGCCATAGTGAAGCAAAAATCTCGACTCCGAGAATAAACTTGGGATCTGCTAATTGGATCCCTGCCATATAGTCAATTCTTCTCGCGTAATTCGTTGCAAAGGCAACCTATTCGTTACAGTGGGTAATAATAAGAATTGTAATTCTAACGCATAATTTTCTGTCCGCGATTTCAACGTTGCTAAGATTGCCTGTTTGACTCTAGTTTCCGTTTGRTTTACGCCAGAAATGGGTACATTCACGTCCCGTTTGGCTATTCGCAGAAGATTCGCGAACCGAATCGTTAAGAAATGTGCTTCGGAACCCGAATCCAGAAGCACACGACAATCGTACGGCCTGCCGTCGCGATCCAGCAAATGCACCACTGCAGTTAGTAACAGCGCGGCTTTCTGCGAGTGATGGAGCTCTACATGTGCATTCTGCACCGCCGATGCCGTCCAAACGTGATGCCCGCCGTTGCATTTTCTGCAACAGCCTCTCTCACATGTAACAACTCATGATGCCTGCCCTTGCACTTTCTGCAGTAGTCATTCCTAATACATGTGTAGACGCGGTGACCAGCTTGTAAACAATTACAACACAAATTGGCTTTAACCACGATTCTTCTGCGCTCCTCGGGCTCGGCTCTCAGTAGCTGCTCACACTCCGATGTGTTATACCTTTCGCGACATATGCCACACGAGACAGTCGCGCTTGTGGAATACGCTTGAACTTGTCTTCGGTTGGAAATTCGCGGCCAATTTCGCGGAGAATTAAACCGCGGCTCGTTACACATCAAGTTCCTTGAGCGAAAATTCCTCTCGGGTCCTAATGGCGCGTTCCTTCTGCTATTGTTAATCCTTTTAGAATGTTCTGCCGGCTGGGAGCTTACTAGCGCATTTCCCCGATCGCGCAAAAATATCACAAATTCGTCTACCGTCGGTAAAGCATCTCGGGAATACCGTTGTTCCYATTGAAGCCGTGTTGCTGGATCCACTCGCGAAAGATGTGCGGCAATAGCAAATTGATCGACAAACACTTTTTTAGTCGCTACTAAAGCCCTATAATTTGCACTCAGCGCATCGGACGCAGCAATTAAAGACGAGGGAAATTCACTGTCAATAGGGGGACCCTCCAAAATAGCTCATACGTGCTTATTTATCAATATTAACGGATTGTCATAGCACTCGACTAAGGTCTTCCGCGCAATCGGATAATTATTTGCGGTAATTTCCAGAACTCTTATTTTCTCCGCGGCTGGTCCCGATAAGCATGATTTCCAATATGTAAATTTTTGTATTTCTCGAAGAGCGGGATTATCTCCTATCACCGATTGAAACGTGTTCGCGAAATTCGGCCATTCCTCATGCTGCCCGTCAAAATGAGGTATTCTGTAAATGCTATCTACGGACGGACTGCTAACCGTAGTGCCAACTGGAGACAACAGACTCGTGGTAGGCGAATTTGTGTCTAAAGTGGCTACCGATTCAGCTCTATTAATGATCAACTCCGCCTCCGCCTTGGCATCGATGACTGACTCGACATGATTGTGAATTTTGTCAACCAGCGTTCCCATCGCTTCACTGGAAGTCTTTTCTATCAACTCCTCTAATATTGCAACATTCTTATCAACTTAGGAAATCCTAAGCTTTTATTTCATTATATCGCGCGGGCTGGTACGATTTATCTCGCTCACCGCCTTTTGAAATATCGCGAATTCTTTCTTTACATACTCGAATCTCCGTACAGCGCGCTCGACATCACCACGTGCACCACTCAAACGAGGCATTTTCACGACAAAAGGCGAAATTAAGAAGAGAAAAGAGGAGGAAAAATACGACTTCGAAGAATGATCAAGCAATAGAAATTACAAAACTCACGTGAATCCTCTGAATAAAGTGTCCCGTGCAGGGTTGCGTCAGGGTCCGCCCCGTGGGCAGGGGGTAGTAGAATTCTCCCACAGTATTCCCTGCTTGTCGTAAGAGGCGACTAAAAGGGAGGGTGTGAATGGTGTGTGCATGTCCTGTATGGCTATTTCTCTCTGTAATTCTTTCTATCCCCTCTTTTTTCTATTCTTTTCTTGTCTCTTACTTCCTTCGTTTCCTTTTTTTTCCTCTGGGCTTGTGTCTATTTATATCAATTAAAAAATATGAAAGGTACAACCTCAGAGAATAACCCGTGTGGGAGGGAAACTCACACAACGGCGGTGTTTGGTGGTGGTAGGACAGGCCACCCATCGTCGACATCATGCTACTGTCATGAGTCTAGGGTAGGCGACCCGGCCCTGACTCTGGATAATGCGTCGGGAAGTTGTTCGCGGGTAGGCAACCTGGCCCGTGGATCGACTGCTGCTACAGGAAGTCGAGAGCGCTCCTTGGAGGAGGGGCCGAAGTGCACGGTAAGGTGCATAGAAGATCTGGAGACTGACTCTATACCAGTCAGGACCCATAAAAGGGCGAGGCCGATTTTATACACCTCGTCATCGGAGGATGAGGTAGTTGACCTCACAAGGATGGACGGTGTTATATCAGAGGGACCATCGGTCTCCAGTATGGAGATTGGAAGACTGTTTGATCTGATAATGGAAAATATTGCTGAGGCAGAAGTAAGAAGGAAGACCTGCGGCAACATCAAGGGCAAAATATCGGGGAAAATGAAAAATTGCTATATGGAAATAATGAAAATGGCCAGGGAGTTGCAGGCCCGCAACAGGGCAAACTGTGGCTCTGAAATTCATGAATCTCTGGAGCAGTTAAGGGCGGAAGCGAAAGCCACAAGTAACCGGCTAAAGCAGGTGGAGGAGGAATGTACGCGCCTTAGGCGGGAGTTGAGGCGTAAAGATGTACTCCTCGAAAAGGTGTCAAAAGGGGAAACTAAGGCAGCAACTGCAGCAGCAAACCAGGTCCGATCTTCTGCAGAGGAGAGACTAGTTGCTGCCAGGAAGGAGGATGTGCCTGATGATAAGACGACAAGGAAAGTTCTTAATGACCTTTCAAAATCGGTGATTACAATACAACAGGAGTTAAATGATATAAAAATAAGACAGAGCTCTTATGCTCAGGTTGCAGCCCGGCCGCGGGTTGCTCCCTCACCGCCGATATCGACGCCTCTGGCAACTGTCCTGGACGGGGATGGGTTTGCCGAGATGAAAAGAAGAAATAAGGTTGCTGCACCTGCTGGGGGGCCCTTGTCTACACGGGCGGATGTCAGGAGGGTTGGCCCTCCTGTTTATCCTAGTGTGGGTGGGGGGAGCCCTGCTGTGGGTGAACGGAAAAGGAAGAAGAAGAAGAAGAAGAATAAAAATAGAAGAATAAGGGAGACCGCAGCGGTATCTCTCACGTGCGCGGAAGGGGCTTCTTATTTGGCAGCCCTAAAGAAACTTGAAAAGGGGGTGAAATTAGAAGAAATAGGGGCAAAGGGGCTTTCGTATAGGCGTGGATTGACGGGGTCCTTTATCTGGCAGATCCGGGGAAAGAACGCCAATATTAAGGCAGACAAATTGGCGCAGGCCATGAAGGGAGCCCTACCGGAGGCCAAGATTGGAAGACCTCAAAGGACTAGTCCCATCAGGCTGATGGGGATTTATCCAACTACCACCTTGACGGCGGTTAGGTGTGGGCTACAGGAGGTTAGGGCGGGATTTGACCCCAACCTAATTAATATTGGGAATATCCATCTGGGCAGGGGTGGTCGTTATGAGGCCACAGTTGTGGCCCCAACGGCATTGTGTCAGGCTGCCATCGACAGGGGCAGTATCCTCGTGGGGTGGAACAAAGTCCGGATATTTCCAGTTCGACCCAGGCCTCTAAGGTGCCACAGGTGTCTGGCGAGAGGCCACGTGGCTGCATCTTGTCCTGCACCGGGTGCCAGGATGGGTGTGTGCTTCAAGTGCGTGGAGCCGGGGCACGTGGCCAAAGACTGCGGGGACAAACCAAAATGCCCGATCTGTGTGGAGGCGGGGCGTTCCCGAACCTCGCACAGGGCTGGGTCCTAGGAGTGTCCGTTAGTGCCTCCTATTAAGGGGAAAGACGTAATTTTGGGGGGAGTCGCGGGCCGACGGGACACGTCAGGGTGCGTGAAAAACGTTCCGGAAAGTGCGGGCGAAAAAAGTGTTGTAAATAGTGTGGGTTTGAGTGTCGGCAATGACATGGAGGTTGAGCAGGTGTATTCTGCCCCTTCATGTAAATAAACAATTACGAAACTACAATGGCCACGGTCATTCAGGCCAACTTAAATCATGCGCGTCGTGCCCTGGACTTGTTGGGCCAGCGGATGAGGGAGACTGGGGCGGATATTGCGATAGTCTCGGAGCCGTGGTGGGTCCCTCCCGGGGATGAGAAATGATTCTTATCCCTGGGGGGGTCTCCCCTCTCTGCGATTGTTGCGGGCAAAGGTGAAAGAACCTGTAGCCTGGTGCGTTGGGGTTTGTTTTTTGTAGCCGTCAAATGGGGGGACTCGCTGGTAGTTTCAGTCTACTTTCCTCCCAGCGAGAATTTAAATATTTTTTGTAGACTCCTTGATGAGCTCGAAGAGCTCTTAGGCACACTTCCCGCTCTTCCAGCGCTAGTTGCCGAGGACTTTAATGCCTGGTTCCCCAGATGGGATCCGGAAGGCAGAAGCAATCAAAGGGGCGAGTTGCTCTGTATGTGGGCCAATAGGGTAAACCTAAGCCTGGCTAATCAGGTTGGTCACCCCACGTGCGTTCGACCGCAAGGGTCGAGCGTTGTAGACCTTACGTGGGGATCTCCGGCAGCTAGTGTCCGCTTATCGGATTGGAGGGTGGATGAGGCTGAGTCCCTTTCGGACCATTTATATATTATATTTAGGTACAGGCACGAGGCTACAGGCTTCCGAAGTCTTCGCTCCAGGGACAGAATCTTTCCTAAGTGGGATACGAGGACTGTGGACGAGGACAGGCTCGCCGCAGCCCTCGTCTCTGGTGAGTGGACACGGGACGATGGTGCTGGTGTGCAGGACTTGGTGAAGTGGGCGGACAATACCCTCCTCACTTCATGCGACATATCAATGTCGAGGGTGAGAACAGCGGTGGACGGGTGTCGTGTTGTGCCATAGTGGTCACGGGAAATTGCGGTCCTACGGGGAGCGGCTACGGCCGCGAGAAGGCGTTACCTGAGGGCCAGGCGAGGAGGTGATCTGGCCATGATTAGAGCATGTCTAGAGGACAGGAAGGAGAAGAGGAGGGATCTGGTCCGTGCCATCAGAAGGGCCAAGGCCTCAGCCTGGAAAGAATTTTTAGCTACCATAGAGGATGATTCATGGGGGAGACCCTGTAAGCTAGTAATGGGGAAATTGAGGGCTCGAGGTGTTCCCCCCATGACTGAGGTACTAGATCCTCCTCTTTTGGTGCGGATTGTTGAAACGTTGTTTCCGGGAGGCGGGCGATCAGTTGCCCCAAACGTCAACGTAGCGGACTCGGAAGAAATAATTGTCACGGCCGTAGAGGTTCATAGGGCCGCCAAAAGAATTAACCTTGGGAGGGCACCGGGTCCTGACGGGATCCCTGGACTGGTGTTGAAGAGAGCGGCCATACACTGTGGTCGGGGCCTGGCAGAATGCTTCACCATGCTGCTGAGGAGGGGAGTTTTCCCACGGGCATGAAAGAGGGCCAAGCTCGTGTTGTTAAAGAAGAAGAAAGACAGTGATATCAACGCGCCCGGCTCATACAGGCCAATATGCCTGCTGGACGAGGTGGGGAAGCTATTTGAAAGAGTTGTTGTTTCCAGGGTGAGCGAGTTTTTGAAAACTGAAAGTGTTCTTTCTCCATGCCAGCATGATTTCAGGGTGGGTCACTCTACCATTGGAGCCATCGGAGAGGTGACAAACTATATAAAGGAGTGCGCGAGTAGTGGACGGGTGGGCGTTCTAATTTCGCTGGATATCAGTAACGCGTTCAACTCGCTCCCCTGGGAGATAGTGATAGAGTTGATGGAGGGAAGTGGTTTCCCCACCTATTTGGTGAATATTATCAAAGATTATTTTCGTGATCGGCTCTTGTCCTTCATTGGAAGGCAAGGCCTAATTAGTAATGTAAGTGTAATGTGTGGGGTCCCACAGGGTTCCGTCCTCGGCCCCACACTTTGGAACATTGCATACGATCGGGTCCTCCGGGTCCCGCTGCCGGGAGGGTCTCGTGTGGTTTGCTATGCAGATGACACGGCCCTCCTTTCAGCGGGGCGGGACCTGTCTTGTGCATTGTTAGCGGCTGAACGGGACCTAGAGGTCATAGTGAACGAGATTGAGGGATTGGGCCTGAAAGTGGCGCTGCAGAAAACGGAGGCAATGGCCTTCCCTGCCTCTGCCTTATGCAGACGCAGGATTATTCCCCCCCTGTGATTAGATACAGGGGGGTTTGTATTGCAGTGAAGCCCAGTGTGAAATACCTGGGCATAGTTTTAGATTCAAGTATGTCATTTAGGCCCCACTTCAAAGCCTTAATCCCGAGAGTGGAAGGGATCCTTCGGTCTATTGGGAGAATCCTTCCGAACCTCCATGGGCCGAGGGAGAAGAAACGGCGTCTCTACGGCAGCGTGATCCACTCCGTGCTCCTCTATGGTG